TATATATATATATATATATATATAATATAAATCGAGTTGTGAATAGTTGTCGTGAATAGTTGTGAATAGTGATATTTAAACATAAATCCGATTATACCTTCTCTTTACATTCAAATAAATCTTTTAGTAATAGCTTATCTACAAGAATGTCGGAAGACATTTTCATTCGAAATCGATGCAATGATCATGTATCAACATATTTTCTATTTAAAAGGAATAACGTATCGACTAGTCTTTTTCTAAATAAGTAAACGTACATCAAGGAAAAAGTTGAATTTGTAGAGAGAATTGTAGAGAAAATCTTGGATAGAGAAACTTAATTTTTCTTCGATTTTCTCATTAATTATTTTCTATCGATTAAATTTGTTTCGAATAATGTTGCAGCATGTTTAAACGTATATTCGGTCCAAAATATCGATCGTCCAAAGTACCGAGTCTTACGTATACATTATTGGTTTCGTGCCTTCCTCGCACTTTCTATCTCGCTGATTAGTGAAAATAGGTTGCAATTGCAGCAATAGTAATTCAAGTTTCTATATTAGCTAGCTAGACGCTTGCGTGACATACGCGCAAATTATGTGGAGCGCAATTATGCCGTTGTCCGTTCACACAGTGAAATTTATATTTAGCAGTTCCGCTGAAATCCCTAGTATGCATGTTGAAAGTATGCTATCTTTTTCTTTCTTTGCTATTTTATTTTTCTTTATTAGACACTTAACAGTGCCTGTTAAGTGCATATATAAATTTTTCTCACGATTATTTCCTTTAGTCTTAGCATTGCGTATTATAAATGTGAAAATGTTTAAATAAGAAGAATCGATATAAGAGTATTCAATTAGACGCGATTTTAAAATATTAAAATATTAGAGTATACATAAATCGAGTACTGAAAAAGCGACTGAAAAAAATAGCTTTTTGCTTTGTGAATTTGTCATATAATACCAATTCTTTACTTAACATGCGTATGCCTAGAATTAAAAACATAAATGTGATTTGATATGTATACGCATACGTTATATTTCATATATTACAATAAAAATTACTTGTTCTAGTGTAAATATTATGCAAATTTGAATATTTATATATAACGAAAAATAGTAGCAATAAAGTTTTAATTTTAATTTAGAAATTTTTCTTTTGTAAACTTTTTTCAGTCGTAAGTTACTTTGTCGCTAATTTATAAAATGATAAAAAGCACAGCAGTTATTTCAGTGAGAGGATAAAAATATCGCGTTTAGGTAAATAGTCCACTGTATGTAACGGCAATCTCAAGCAAATCAGCCGCCGATGTCATATCGGCAAAGCGATCGGACGGTGTCATCGTTTTTGGGGAAACTTTGGCGAGCACTATCGGTATCGATGGTAGCGAGCAGTATGGCAAAGATATGGAGAAAGCAAGGCGTTTTATTACTAACCCGCCGTTGCGGCCTGACCCAACGACACCTGCCTATCTAACCGAACACCTGGCCCAGTAAGTAGATCGTGTGAAAAATCCCTATGTCTTCATGATAGGCAGGTTATTCCATTTGGTTATTATTAAAAATTATATCTGAATAGCGCACATATTTAAAGATGTTTCAAAGACCTTTTTTTTTTATTTTAAGAACCTTAAAATTTATCTTTTACAGCATAGATTTTAAGTATGTACGCAACTTTTTATTACCGATTACGATAATTTTTATCAATTGGGATATGTACATACATGGCCAATAGAGATATAAAATATAACGTTGCTTTTATAAAAGTATTCATGTGTGATTAAAATCTGGCATTCCGATATCTTTTTAATTTGAAAACGAAAACGAAAAGTTGCAATAACAAAACATGACAGGTAGAATGATAAGCATAATTCTTTACCTGAATATTAATAATTGCGACACAGTCACGTAAATGCTGCAATTAATATTAAATACACAAATAAAGAAGTACTGGCTATAATAACTATTATTAAATAATCTCTCAATCTCTTTTAGTTATCTGATTAATAATTTGCTATTATTTAATTGTATTATGAATTTTAGTTACTTTAGTCTATTCGATGTCAAGGTAACTTAACACTTGATTTTCCTTTGGAAATTATTCCGATATTCGATCTTCGGATGATTTGATACAATCATCTTTCAGAGATAATCTTCAAGTTATTGGCAGCGACAATTGCACTTTTAATGCCGAGCAGAAGGCTTTGGGCAAAGATGATTTTTCAAAGATCCCAAATGGTGTAAACGGTGTAGAGGACAGGATGGGAGTGCTCTGGGAGAAAGGTGTGCACGCTGGCATAATGGACCCTACGCGGTTCGTTGCGGTCACTAGCACGAACGCCGCCAGAATCTTTAACTTATATCCTCGAAAGGGTGTTATAGCCGTTGGCTCGGACGCCGACATTGTCGTCTGGGATCCCAACAGGAAACGTACCATTTCCGCTCAGACCCACGTCCAGGCTGTTGACTTCAACATCTTCGAGGCGAGTTTGATTAAGTCATCCGCTTTTAATGAGAAACGACAGTTATCGTATCGTGCGGTATAGACCATTATATTTTTATCGCAAAATACATGACTGAAATTTATATTTTCAGCGCGTTCATTCCTTCAAAAAGAAAATATATTATTGAATTAGTTGCAATAACTTTCACAAGCTGTGGTTTAATTTTAGCTGTTATTTAATTTTCAACCATTAATACAGGGTATGGAAATAACTGGTGTACCTGAATACGTGATCGTCAATGGGCGCGTGTGTGTAGACGAATGTGAGCTCAAAGCTGTTCACGGTTTCGGAAAATACATAAATACGGAGCCATTTGGCACTTATGTGTATGACATGATAAATGACAAAGAAAAGGTATGACTGATATCCTTCTTTTCTTTTTCTACCATTATTTCTACCATTTTTATAAATGTGTGTGATTTTCAAATAATATATATTTTTTTAATACAGTGTTAAATGTTTTTTTTTTTATTTTCAATTAAATTTGAATTAATTTGAAGGTAGAGAATAAAATTCAATATTACTTAAAATTTGATATTTTATTGCAACTGCGTAGAAACCACGTGGAGTTGCACGAACCGAAGCAGAAGCCAAGAAATTCGCCGAGGAAGATGCTGCGATCGCAAAGGCTAAAGAAGAAGCAAGAGCCGCGGCGGCTGCAGCTGCGGCACGAGCCAATCAAAACGGTTCAATTCACGATAGTCCAAAGATCAAATTGCAATCTGCTACTTGTGTACCTACCTTGCCGGAATCCGCTGTAGTGACACCATCCACGAAGGGCCCAAGACTCGAAGGGCAAAGAAACCTACAGGATTCTACTTTCTCTATCAGCGGTACGTTTTACGATAAATTATTTTGTGAATTTTCAAATATGTAGCATATTATATTTTTTGGTTGTCTTACTAATATCAATAAGGGATAGTTTTAAATTATCTGAGCTTGAGATAAATAAATCATGTTTATTTTATTTCATTTGTCTCACTCCATCATATTGTGGGCAACGCGTTTTTCTTACAGAGGATGTCGAAGAAGCACGAAGGGCATGTATTCGCGTAAATAATCCACCGGGCGGGCGCAGTGCGGGAGGCTTTTGGTAATTTTTACAAAAAAACATCAAGCTTTACGTATAAGGATCATTTAATGCAAGAAATGAATGGAATTTCTCTTTTCCTTCTTCCTTCATCATACTCCTCTCATTTATCATAACATGTATACGTACACACATATTTCATTTATTTCGAAAAGTATCACTCTCGCTTTCAGGTTCGTTAAATCATTAAATATTATACTTATACTCGTTTTCACATTGTATTCTCATCGATCAAGGTCTGTTCCATCAAAGGAGGATGCGGAAACTACAGGCCAATAGGTTGTACATTCATATATCCATACTAATCGTTCCACTTTCGCTTCATTGTCGCTTCATCGCCGCACTGTATTATTGGCGTGCTTGAATATCATTAACCTTGGCCCGTTCTTCAATTTTTACATAGCAATCATTTTTTTCGATTTTTTTTGTGGTAACATTATGGCGATACATTTTCGTAGATCATTTTCGTTATTTTCATTTCGAGATTTATTTATTGTTATACACGTAAAAATATACGTATATAATTTGTGGTATGTCATAGAATACAAAATGTGTATTTAATATCTGAGCAATATCCTATATTGGATAAGATGTTTTTAAAATATTTTTATAATTTATAAAAAAATTATTTTATCATTACACATTATTATATTTTATAAAATTTATTTTACTTTATAAAATTAAATTTTGAGTGGTAATCATTATGAAAAGAATTTTCAATCAGATCTAAAAAAAAGATCATCGTCAGCTATTACATGAATTTATAAGATAAAATGATTTGTTTTTTCTTAAATTCTATTACAATTTCTTTAATTTCAAAAGTAAACTTATAATTATGATTATTATGAAATATATTAT